CAGCCCAAATGGAAATAGAAACCCTTAGGGAAAGGGTTGCGGAATTGCAGGCGCAAATGGAAGGCATAGAGCGGGAGGTGGGACTTACCACCAAGGAAAAGGTAAAAAAGGCTCTGTTGAAGTATGRTCTTCCGCTGGCATTCGCGGTTGCTATTAGCACCGTAGTAGGGGTAATCCTATCCGCGCTTAAGGCTACAGGCGCGGGCGTAAAGAAATTAGGCAATGGGCTGACGGACTTGGGAAAAAAGATGGCGGCCGGTCTTCCTGGGCTGCTGGATAGTGTTCTTGGCCTGGCACTTAGGGCCGGCGGAGAACTGTTGAAGTTCGTGGGGAATAACATCTGGATCTTGGTAGCAGCTATTGGGATGGTCCTCTTGAAGAAGGTGAAGGTTTTGCCTTATCCTTCTCGTCGGGCGTGGCCCTGCTTTGAGGATAATGAAAGACAGTATTAGCACCGCCCTGATAATTCGGAACCAACGGCAACACACTCATGGTAGAAATGGGTTTATGACTCCAGACTGCATTAGCAGGCCTGCGACTTACACGATTTATCCCAAACTTGCCGTCATCAGAAGTGACTTGCAACTTAGCATATTTACAATTGGCTAGCATATGAAAAGTCACCGGCGTTAGGTCTTCAGAGGACCTAGTGTAGGGCTCCATCGAAAAATGGGTAACTTTCCTAGGGTTCGTTGAAGTTCGATAAGGAAGCAGAGGCTCATCATTTTCATCAATGAGTCTAAACCCCACATTTGCATGCGTGTTTGCGTTAATGCTAATGGTGCAAATGACCAATGCAGTGCCCCCAACTTCAACCCACATTCCAACGTCAAGCTAGGCAACGTCGTCATATCCTTCTTCATCTAAGCGATGGGTATAGCGATTCATATATTTCAGCAAACATAGTTTGCTTCTAAAGGCTCATTACCGTCAAAGCGCTAATTGTCATGTGGTTATAGATAGTATTCCTTTGATTTTCTATGCTAATTATGCAAACGCTCCCAGTGTCACCTACACGCATTTGCAGCTTTACTTTCCCATGGCAGTCGGCAACTAGAAAGATTCTCGGCGCTATTCGTTGGCGGCTCTACTGAGAAATGCGTAGGCTCTCTGTTGTTTGTTTTCGTGCGCATGGGCTGTAATACTCCATTGTCGTCGCAGAAACGAAATCCTACGTTCGCATTACTAACGGCTCCCAAAGAAATACTGCATATTATCAGCTTCTTTCCCGAGTAGTTCAGATCCACGGACATCCCAGTGACGTTCACCCAAGACGCCTGGGTGTATTTTTTCTCGCCTGTGTAAGTCGTATAGACACAATCTACTCCAGCTACTTAGGGGTTGTTCATCACCATATATAATAGCTAAGACCAATGTTTGCGGTGGCCGGCCTTTAGTAAGTTATGGTCATATTCCTCGGGTATCGTAAGCATAACCTGGGCCTTCTTTGATAGTTTCTTAACTACGGGTAGCTTCGCTTCGTGTGACTTTTGTGGCTCCTCTACGAAGTGAGGAATGCCCTTGGTCATGTCAGAATTCACGTCATTCACCCCAAACTTCATATCCTTAGTAGCTCCCTGCAGCTTGTTGTTATAACCCACAACGGAATTAGCGTTGATAACCTTTGATTGCTGCACCGCTAATTGATACCTTTGAACTGACTTGGATATGTCATTTTCTATTATTGCGGACTCAAACAGGGTTAGGAATTCTTGTTGCGTTTCCCGCGAAGCACCTTGAGATCCAACGATGGGGCTGCGGGTATTTACCTGCGCTCCCAGGGTGCAGTAGACGAATGCTTCAATGCTGCGGTTGATCCTGGCTAGGTTTCTTAGGCCTTTTCCTTTTAATAATACAAACGGATCCCAAGGACTGGGGTAAATTGTCTTAATCCTATCGATAAGCGTAACGTCATTCTTGCGACCACCCAAGTCGTAAAACTTTAGGACCCCGGGGTATTTTTGATGATACATGTCTGCCGGACGCACGCCATCAACCTGCCAAGCATAGATAATGCCCAAGCCATGCGGGGCGCCCTCCCGATAACGAAAGTCTCTCTGCTGCGGCTTAAACTCATTCATTAGTCTTTCTAGGGCAGCGGAATCGTAGTGGTTATTCATTCTATTAAATGGCTTTCCCCCCGGTAATGGTACATTAAGCTCCTTCAATATGCGCCGCATAGTAAAGGCAACGTGGAACCTTAGAAAGCCAATGTCGAACATATCCGCGGCAACCCCACAGCCCTTCGTAGCCGCCCAGACGGCAAAGGTGAACTGCTGCGGCCAGTACTTAAAGTTAGGGCCCTTTAGCCATTCCTGGGCTTCTTTTCCTGAAGTGTGCGTAAGGTTAAAATCCTTAAAGATATTCCTTACTACTCCGTCAAAGGTTTGCTTACCCACTAGAATCTTCAAATGCGTTACTATCTTATCAAAGTTGTTTACGCCACCTTCAGCATCGTAAAATGGGTAATCCTGGTTGGTTATCAATAAATTATCCGGGAAATTAGGTTGCCTTTCTTTATGCTCGGCTGCCTTCCTTGTCACGTAATGTGGTACCTCCTTTGGACTCAAGTCCGCATTGCTGTACATTCTGGAGCCGTTGAAGTAAATCCCATCGGGTCTTCTTTCGAACTTACTAGGGTCTGCATGTGGAAACATCTTCCTAAAGGCCCTCCAGTTCGCATAATCCCCGTTGTTATGATGTGGCTGCTCCTCAATATCATTCCCAAAAGCGTCGTACATTAGTATATATAATAGATGTTATACCATCAGCACCTCAGTTGTACCCAGATTTCCAAACTATCACACCACAGCACCAATTGTCCCCTCTGAAACCAACGCTGAAAACTTTCGCTTGAACAATGCAAACCTAATCCTGGCTTACTTGGACGGACAAGTCAAGTACTACGAGAACGTAAGGAAGAAGTATGCCCGCGCCCGCAGCACTCTGCATAAGGTGGCGGTAACAACCGGGTCTATGTCTGTTGCTTTAACGGGCAGTGGTGTTGTTACTTCTTTGACGGGGCCCGGCGTCGTTGTTGGAGTTCCTTTGGCCGGCGTTGGGGCAGCCTGTGGTATTGTCTCCGCTGTCTCCACGGGCATCATGAAACAATTATCGAATAAGATATCCAAGCATGACACGACCATAGCCCTAGCAAGGGCAAAGTCTAACACGATTGCCGACCTCGTCTCCAAAGCTGTTGTTGACCGTAAGATAGACAACGTGGAGTTCTCCTTGATTCTTGCGGAGGAGAAGAAGTACGAGGAGTTGAAGTCGGGCACCAAAAAAACAATTATCAAGGATCTGTCCGACGAAACCCGAAAGAAGATCTACGAACAGGCCAAGGAAGACCTACAAAGAAAACTCGCTCAGTAGACATTCACTTTGAATTTACGTCAACGTCTGGGTATTCATACTAGCATCGGATGCTCGGGGTCTATCTCCTTAAATATCTCGTAAATCGCGTCTGGATAGTGGGGAATATTCTTATCCAAACGGCAAAACACACCACTCAGCTCTACTCATCACATCCCTAGACACCACTGGGATGGGTTCGTTGGTAATTTGAGATAAAAGGTGTGGAATTGCCTTGTAGTACTTCCCTAGCTTTGTCTTTTCAGCGTTTTCCGTAGGCTTTGCGGGGTTGGTTCTTTTAAGTCAAGCGCAATCATTTCCATCGTTTCATCTCCTAGATATACTGGGCGAAGTCCTCGTATGTGGTCCATCCAGTCCCTAAAGTATCTTATTCTCTCATAAGGTGTTTTCTTACGACCTCCATTGGCGTGATATTGCTCTCTGGTAGCATTTGGCACTGGTCTAAGGATATTTCTGCCGCACTCGTAACACTGTGCTGATGTGTCATCTTCTATTCGCATTTTTTTACCACAACAAATATACTTATTTGGTGGCGGGGCAACAAACTTGGGTTTCAAGCACTTTATACAAAAGTCATAAGCAAACTCTTTACATTCATGCATTATATATATCATAGATCGACGCAGACACAGCAGCAGTAAGGGAATTGGCGGGCGGGTAATACCGGATGTAGCCGGGGGTCACTTGGCGCGGGAAATTGCTGGGGTTCCCCGTACCCCCTCCGCGAGTCCCCCTTACTGCTGCTTTTCTTTTTATTTGAAATTTGACGAAGTGGCACATGCTTATCAGAAATCGATTGAATTGTGTTAACGACTCCGTTCATACTTTCATTAACGTTAGAGGAAATTAGATTATTGAAATCAATAGTCTGTATGTCTCTTTGAAACGCGTTATAATCAAATTTAAAGAAGTCACGGTAATACTTTGAATACTTTGATGTAGGAAAATAGGGAAATGAACAGTGATATCAGCTAGACATATTCCAGATTTTGAATTTTTTTGTGGTACATTAGTATAGATATGGTCGATTAGTTTGGAAGTGTGATCAGTAACTCGAGTGGGTTTAGTTATCAGTGGCATGAAACCCAATTCCAAACGAGTATCGAGATGTTTAACAAAAAGTAAAGTTGGAGCGAACATCTACTTACGACTTTGAAATCTTTAACAGAAATTATTGCTATTTCAGAAACAAAGTTAAAAGACCAAAATGTAAACAACATTAGCATACTAGGTTATACATTTTTTAATATTAATTCTCAAACCTCCGCAAGAGGAGAAGGCTTTAATGTTTTTTGATGAATTGGATTTGTAAGATTTAGAATTTCCGCAGACTAGAGGCCCCGCAGGCGCCATAAATATTTAACATCAAGAATCAGTCGAGCGTGCATCGTTAACTTGTAAGTAGTTTTCTTTTTTTTCTTTTTCCTTTTTAATTTGCCCCTTTTTGTGAAGCTTATTAATTATAAGTTGTTTGTTGTAGCAAATCGTACAATCTACCGTGTAATTGTCGAATAATTGTCAAGCTGGAGCTAATAAATACGTATGTTGGAGTCCATGTGTACGAAGGCTCGACTATTTATGTAGTTGGAGACTACATTCATTCAAAGTTAATGTCACTCATCATTGACTTTGGTTATCGAAATCGCCGAAATTATCTAAACTAGAAGATGTACGACCAGGATGGAAGAGATTTGGATGAATTTGGTGAAGATTTMAGAGAGAGATTTGAGAGAGTAAAATCAGTCCACGAGCAAGTACATGAGGAATCGCACGTGCGACACATGGAGCCCAACCAGAAATTCCAAGAAATTAAGGGAGCAATGTCAGCAAAACCAAGCGTAGAGAATGGTGGAAAAAAGGTGACATGGCCATCATTAACGCAAGATTTAGTTGGTTTTGGTGCTGAACAACTAGAGCCCGATGTTAGAAGATCTTCGAGAGTTGGAGAACCAAAGAAATTTGGCGAAGAAGAAGTCAGAGCCGAACGAGCGATTCGGTATAGACGTAGTAGATCAGGATATCTTGGAGAGCTGAGGAAGAATTGGAACAGAGTACAAGAATTGATGAAGAGCCCTGAAGTCGACGTGGTAACACTAGAAGATAGTGTCCAAAAGTAC